CTTTGAAGTCAGCTCTGGTTGGCTTCAACTCAGTTCCTGAGTTCAACACCTAATATTGGCACAAAACATTCCTTCATGAAAGTGTGAAAGTAAATAGGGATACAGGTGGACCCATTGCAACAATGAGATGCACAAGTCGTTATGTCAAAAAATGAAATTTACAACTTTGGTGGGGGGGATAGGAGGGTGAGCAGGGATGATTGGGTGGGGGGGTGGGGGGGACGAAGGGAAGGGATGGGAAGGGGAAACAAAGGAAGAGGCTACAATGCTTGATAAGAAATGTACTCATTATATCGCCCATGTAATTGTAACTCCTTTGTAGAGTATTTTCACAATATAAAATTATAAATTAAAATTAAAAAAAAGAAAGTGTGAAAGTAGAGCTCTTCATGTAACCAAACAGCTCTGGACATATCTAGAATGACTGGCTGATATAGGATCTGGAGTCTTGGTCTTGGTTTACTAATTAAGCACTTTCTGATGTAGCAGACATATTTTCTAAATGCCTCCAGGATATCTTTAATTACATAACTATACTGTGGCATCTATCTTGGCTCTAGAAATTCTAATGTTAGGTCAATCTTTGTGTTTCTGTAAAAGAAGACAGTATAGTTGTTGGAAGCCACATTTTGGAAAATGGAATACTGCAGTGTTTATTACACAGCTAACAATCTGCAAGCAGTCTGTAGTAACAAAGACTTGCAGTCCACAAATGCACTTAGACAGCTTGGAAACAGGACAGAAAGGAAAAAAAGAATAAAAACAACACCAAGAAACCAATCAGCACCAAGAGAGTGTTGAATTGGGACACTAGGATGACCAGAGACAAGCCAGGGGAAAGGACACAGGACATGATCACAGAGACATGTGACATTGTATCTGGTGCCACTGCTGGTCAAGCCTAAATAGGACCTAAGCGGGAGGCAGGTCTACAGGAAATTCCAGTCCCAGGCACTAGACTAACAGATTGAGTAACATATCAGCCAAATGCTCACCCCTGCTTCCAGGAAACCAGACACACCCATCTGTTGGGTGGCAAGTGATGTATGTTGTCATTTCCTTCCCCGAGCATAAGTATCAGACGGCAGACCCCACCAACCACCCTGTGGCCAATAGCGCACCAGCCACACCTGACCTCCTTACTTAATATTACTGAATTATTAAATTAATTTACAAAATGTTACATCCTCTTTATCGTTTAGTAAACAGCTAAAGAATTTGCTTTTTTAAAAGCCATTTTTCTTGAGCCCCACCTCTGAAAGAAAAATTCTCACATTCACCAAAAATTAAACATTCTTCTTTTGAATAGTTTATTTCTTCCTTCTTCCTCATTCCTTCCCTTCCTCTTTCCTTCTCTCACTTCCCTCCTTCCTTCCCTTGTCTCAGGGCCTAGAAGTGATGCTGTAGTTCAAGTGGCATATGGTTTTATTTTTTTGTTAACTTCAATTTTTGTGAGATTGATCAATATCTTTGTGTGCCTGCTTATTTCCCTAATGTCATATCTACATTGGCCCTCTATGAGATAACACAGGCATGACACATCGTCCACACTGGTGTTTCCTTATACCTTACTCAGCAGAACAACTTAATGGGCTAAGAGTGAATCAATCACAAGT